TTACGTGAGACACGGAAATTTTACTACAGGTTTTTGCAAAACAACGGATCTGAATTTTTGCAATTTTCTGCAAAAAAAACTCTCGAAATTTTGACATGGGTGGTGAAGGAACCAAACGCCGGGGGCTAATGGAAATTTGATATGTTATAAAGCAAATAATTCTGCACCTGATGCATTGTTTAAAAATGACAAAATCGCTGAAACTCGGGATCAAAATGGTCCCACAATAGCCAGAGCTGGAAATGACCAAAACACAGAAAATGCTGTAAATAATTTTATTTCGTCGTCGAACTGTTTTCAATCGATTTTTCAGTCAAGATTAAGTATAGAAAAAGCTTTTCCTCCTTCGATACGTTCTTTTTCTATGGGAAAATCGCCATTTTCCAAAACACTTCTCAAAACCAAGGTCATATTCGGAATCAGCGTTGGAAATTGAATCGAACGATATATATTTCAAAGATTTTCTACACAAAACATTTTTTTCGAAATTTTGGTTTTGAGGTTGAAAAATTTCGAAAAGATATTTTTGTGTTTTCAATGCTGATTCCGAATATGACCTTGGCTTTGTCAAAAAGTTAAATTTCGATGGAGAAAATGGCGAAAGCGCGGTGGTGAACTACACGTGGTGAAAAGAACGATGACTATGGGAAGAAGAAGACAGAGAAGACAAGAAACTGTAGATGGAGCCGCTCTATGGCCTGACCAGAGGACAGGTCATAACAGTGAACGGCCGCTACACTTGCGGCAGTATTTGTTTTCGAAATTGCGATTGAGTTTAGTGTCCATAGATGCGCCTGATCAAGACGAATCCGAATATGGTCTTGGAATGTCTCTTAAATATCCACAACTATGCTAATTATTATTATGCTATTTTTAATGCTAATTTTTCTCGGCTATTTTAGCCACAAGTTCAAGCTCAAGTACTTCAAGTAAGGCGTAGCACGGAGTGACCATAGAATTACTACTACTGCAGATAAGGAAGATAGCCTTCTTCTTGTGTATTTTGTGAGCTACGACAAGCTCAACATCATCAACAACAAGGAGCACTTCAACTGGTAAGTGGTGTCATTAGAAAACATTTAGTAATATTGTAGAATACGAAAACTTCGCTTTAGCAACCAGAACATCCACGACTACCTCATCTTCCACATCGACAACAGGTATTTTCACTGATTTCTTTCTTTGTTTGTGGAGTGAGCGCTTGTGTGAACAATACGGATTTTTTCTGGTTCATGTGTTTTAGCTAGTACAACAAGCTCAAGTAGTTCAAGCATGCCCGATCAACCAAGAAAGAATATTCTAAACAACGTTAGTTCTATTTCTAGGTTCAACAAGCTCTTCTAGCACATCAAGAACCAGCAGCAGCAAGTGCATTTTATTCTTCCACTTTTTATTTATGATAAGAGCCTGAAACAAGGTATTTTTACTTATTTGTCTATCTTTTCAGCAACAAGTTCAACCACGACCTCGACATCATCAACTACAAGCAGTACCTCAACAAGTAAGTTTTGATTTCCTTTTCATTCATGGCTTATAAATTTAGGATTTTTTCCACGTTGTGTCATTTGAGCATCGACTACCTCTTCTACTTCAACTACGGTTTCAACCTCAACAACAAGTACAAGTAAATATATTTTACGGGATTTTATGAACGTGTAGGGTAACCATCCCCAGTATTTTTCATAATTTTGTAGAGCGCATCAAGGTGTATATACCTGAAGTGCTTTCGATGAACAGAGTTGTAATTGCTGAGAAAAGAAATTTTTACGAATTTCATACGATTTTGATCCCCTATTTAAGAAATTTATAAAAAATTCAAAATTAAACCTGGAACTCTTATTGTTACGCAGTTCGACAGAGCACATTAAGTGACATATACCCCCCCAAGTTATAATGAAAATTGAACCAACTGTGTCTGAGAAAATTAACAATTTTCATTCTAGTGCAGTTTGTGCCTTTAAAGTAATTTTTTAAAACTTATGTGCAGATTTCAAAACAACGAAGCATTTTGAAGACAAATTTTCGCTGGCAAAGTTGTTCAGGATAATTCTTTTCTTGTGTGGAGCACGTTTTTCATTTTAGTGGGAAAATTTTGAAATAAATTACAAATAATAAAAATTGAGCTTTCAATTTACTTGAAATTTATGTAAATTGCATTTATTTCAAAATTTTCCAACTAAAATGAAAAAAGTTCTCCGCACAAGGAAAGAATTATCCTGAACAACTTTGCCAGTGATAATGTTTCTTCAAAATGTTTCGTTGTTTTTGACATGTGCGCATAAATTCGTGTGCGAGGTAATAAAAAAAGTCGAATTTCCTGCGATTTCACCTAGTATAGGTTTTCACTAGGTCTTTTAATTTTTTTCGAAAAAGAAACATTGCCACGAGACTCAGCGTGATGGATAACCCATGTTTCCATTCATTTTTGAGATTACCACGCCTAAGGAAATATCGATCTTGGGGCTTCCAGGAAATCCAATGCCGCGCCTAAAAAACGAAAGATTAAAAGATCACTTAGTTTCTGTCTTGTAGAGGACATCGTAAGCTATCATACTTATATGAGAAACACAGAGATCACTATGGTAGATCTTGGAACTACGACCTACCATTTCAAGGACTAATAAGGTATACCACCTGCAGGTGGTATTTTCTGAGATATTTTATTTCAACCTGTAGCTAATTAGATCTTCTAAAGCATTTTTTCAATTTCTTTTTCTTGAGATGGGGTCACTAGAATAGAAAAAAGAGACACATTAAATGTCGCATCAAAGATAATCAATTACTCACATGTTGCACCTTCTCCCATCAGTAACTTTCGTCGAAGTGGTGTTCGACATTGATTCATGACACTGACGGCTGGATAAATACCTTCGATGAAACTTGGAGTAGTTAAAATGAATGCAGCACATTGAGCTCGCACATCAGCAATCGATTGAAATTTGTCGGGCATCTGACTAAGAATGGCAGCAAATAAACAGTCGGTAGGTCCAGCTCCAGCAGTAGCTGCCATACCCTTTGTCGGTTCATAATGTCCATCGACTAATGCTCCTGTTGTTTCATCAATCTTTGCTGGTGTATAATTTAATTCAACATTCGGATTGTCAGGATCTTGATTTAATGCATCATCCGATGATGTTTGAAGCACAGTAACCGGAGTTTGAGTTATTATTGCTAAGACAGACAAAACAACATTATCACCTTGTTTACCATTCATTATGTCTAACGCAAGTTTTTCAGAGTAACTTTTCGCTTTTCCTGGTTCATTTTTTGTTCGTTTTTTAAGTTCTTCAAACTTTTTTCGTCCTTCTGGATCGATTTTAATTTTTTCAAACATATCATTAACAACAACATTCAAATAACGTTTTGCACCTTCCTGAACCAATTGTTCAGTCACTGTTCCGTTAGGATCCATGGCAAGTTGAATTTTCTTTGACATTGTTAGAATAGTATTTGAGACGACGAAATTTGTTAATGGCGTGATGAAAGTTCCTTGAATGATTGCACAGACTTGTTTGACAAAGAAATCAATGATCTTTTTGTTCATCATTGAAAGAGACAAAGGCTTTTGTTCAGGTTTTAATAACTTGCTCAGACGATCTACGATATGGGTTCGTTGTATCTCGGAATCAAAGGTAATATTTGTCAGTTCAACGAATAATTTGTCTTGAAAACTTCTGATCGGTTGACCTGTGTTGGATTTAGAAGAAAAAACGTATCCGACAAAATCTGGTTGATCCATAAGAATAAAGAAACGACTATTGAAACCACTAGTACTAGACAGAATTTCTTTACTAATGAGAAGTTCAAAGATTCCCGTCGCTTCTTCCATGGAAATCGACTGATTCGACTGTAAAATGAGTAAATCTTGAAAAGTGGGAATCTTCTGTTCAAGTAATTTCAATTCTTGTTTGTATACGGCAAAGAATTTGTCTGTAATAGTCGCCAATTCGTGACTACCTTTGATCATCGGCAGTAATGTCATCGCTAATTGAGCTATTTTCAGATATTGATCAACTGAACTGTTTTGTCCGTGCAGATATTGTCTACTATGATTGAGGATTACATTGATCATACCACTGGACAAAGATTTAAGTTCTTCAACTTATTCGTTTTCTGTTTCGACATCAATTGTGAAGCTATTTGTTCTATCTGTTGTCGCCATTGTTTATTTCCATTAAATTTATCTGCATCAATGGTTCGATTGACCACACGTTCATATTCGGGTTTTGATTGTTCAACGAGAAGAATACATTCGATTTCTGTACGAATAGTATCGATGAATGCGGACAAAGCTTTATTTGAAACACTATTTGCTGCGTAATTCGCAATTTGCTGAACACCAGTTTCGACACAAGTCACCGCAACTTGTTTACAGGCCAATTTCCAGCTGGTCGATGATATACCTTTGAGGGCACCTGAACCGACAGTTCGAAAACTATTTTTCATTATCGTAAGCGTTCCTCGATCAGTCGCTTTCAACATCGACGTTGTTCCAGTAGTACCAGCTGCTTGAGCTGCTTGTTTGACTGCTGAACAGCCGAGTGTGACGAAACAAATAGTTAAACTCACACCTTTTTGAATACCATAATCTTTCCATGAAAATCGTCGAGATATGGCCCCACGTATCCCATAAACAATATCATTAATTCCTTCACTAATTAACGATATACCTAAACTACTACCTAATCCACAAGTGATAGCTGCAAGACAAACACCACCGATCATTTGACCGACACCTAAAGCCAAGGGGGAAAAGGCGACTTTTTTCTTTCTTAACATCGCAGAGCGTCGTTCAGCATCGGAGAGCATCGCTCAGCATCGGAGAGCATCACTCAGCATCGGAGAGCATCGCTCAGTATCGGAGAGCA